TTTGATCGCTTGGTTCTTGATATTTATCGGTATTCTAACGTTGTTGAATATATTTGGTCGTTGATCCTGTCTCCTTGTTGTATTGAGCACCAACGGTATGGTATATTATGGTGATTTGAATATGGAATCCTATGATCTTGGCATCCGATACATAATTGTTCACTCAGTTCCTTGTAAGTCTCGGTTCATATCTGGATGATGTCTTGAACTCTATTATTGATAAGAGTATATTATGTATGTTTATAAACATGTGCGATATTGATATGTAATACTTAACTATTTAACTCACTAAGCGTTGGCTTACCATTAAGTGGCAACCTCTCTCAGGAAAGAAGACGGACAAAAAGAAAGAACCCGTTGTTTGACTTGAAGATTTATCGGGGAACTTGAAGATATCGATCTTGCTTTTGGGTAAATAGTAGCTTATAWATATAGTCTTGTCCCGTATTCTTTTGGTTACATAATTTGGGTTGTAAGTAAAAATTCGTTATATCCGATTTGGAATTGTGTTTTGGGTGGCTTTATCACTAAAATAGAACGGATATTTCGATTTTTTTTAGAAATTAATATCCCATATTTTGAGGTTAATTAATGTTATGCCCAGATTTGTGTGTTTCAAGGTGTTAGTCTATGGACCATTGAATGGTCTCTGAACCATTGCCTCTGGTCCTTGATGGCCTCTGGTCCTTCATGGCTCTGGTCTTTCATGGCTCTGGTCCTTCATGGCCTTGGTCCTTCATGCCTCTGGTCCTTCATGGCCTCTGATCCTTCATGGCCTCTGGTCCAACCATTGCCTCTGGTCCAACCATTGCCTCTGTTCTTTCTCCAGACTTAGTTTTTTATTTTAGCAGCATTATCAGATTTTCCATCATTGGCCCCGGTTGCTTTGTCAAAACTTTTGGAATAATTTAGGATCAATTTTGGTCCTAATAATCAGTAAATTATATTTTATTGGAGATTTTATAAAATTGATAATTTGGGGTTTTGAACGAGCGACGTCGTTACAATGCGAAACTAAAGCGCTCCAACGATAACCATTTTTGGGATCATAGAACGTGTAAGTATATAGATGGAAACAAGTGTTGATTCGAAATTGAATAATGCAAATAGACGAAGACTTTTGTAATGTTGTTTTCTAAGTATTAATGTCACATGTCATGTCTCATTTAGTGTACTCCACCATATTTATTATTTAATTTTGTATGTAATAATATATCACGTTATTAAAATCTAAATTCGTATATAATATAACATTTTACGTATACCTCAATAATTAAATTGATTTAAATCAAAYGATTGTGAATAATAATAAGTCGTTACATCTCGTAAAATTCTCATTTCATCATGAATAATGTTATRTCATCTAAAACAAGTTCCTCKTAAATACTTCAAAAATAACAGCTGAACGAAAACCCTCTAGTGGAAGACTGAAAAAACAATAAGTAACTCAAATGTTAACTCGTCCCATTTCAAACGACGTCACAAAATTGATCCAAATATAAACGGGCAAGTCTTTAAGCATGTCTCTTTTCTTTGTCCAACCTTGAATTTCATCCCCATGAGATGCATGTAATAATCAGTAATAAAGTTRGGTGAGTTCAYAGTTTTCGTGAATAACAKCATATCGCATCATGTGTATCAAACATGTAAACTCTGTATAARACAATATGCAGTTTCCGAAAACATGCAACATTGAAAGAGAAGAGATATTGTAAATTGCCTTGGCGGAAATGGATCATTTTGTTACTTACATTCCCAAGGTAGACCGATCTGCAAATGTCCGATCACACATTGATGGATCATGTCAATATCGAGGACTTACGAGTCATGCATCCATCCCCTATAACCAAACTTAAATTGTCGTACGCCATATAACCGTATAACTTCATATCATAGTCAAGATAGTTTCTACATAAATCAACTGACAGCTAATTACGATCAACCTCTAAACATTGAACCAAATAATAACCATTAACCTTCTTATAATGACATAAATCTCTTCCTTTTGACATACAATGTGTAATAATGATAAATTAATTAAGTTAAATTTTTTTAAATTGTTATTAAAATAATAAAATCTAGAAAGTGAGGGGTTTGTTGGGCTAATTTATATAAACATTAGGATTTAAGGAAATAACAAAAAGATAATAAAAAAAAAATAGAAGAAAAAATCCAAGGGAAATAGTCAAATAGGAAACCTTCTTCCCATATGAAGATTTTTATGATTTTTTTTAACTATCGGTGTCTCGTGATTCGGGTTAGCTTGTACATTTCGATCGATGGTAAAAGTCGTAAAAAACAGTTCGGAAAATCTTTAATAGTCTTGTAGGATTCGAACCAGTGACTTTTAATGAGAGTTGCCAAAGACGCAAACTTTATTGTCAATTAAGCTAACCCCACAAGGTTAAGATTATGGTTTTCATAAGTTATCAGAGTTTAGATTTATTCTATAAATATAAAGGGTTGACCGATTTAATCAAACTTTAGATTAAATTCTGAAATTTTGAGCTTTCTTTGTTATAAATTTGATTTAAGCTTGAGATATATGATTCAAGATTTAGAGGTAAATTCCAGTTCCAAACCATAAGCTAATCTTACTTGTTTTTTTCGAGTTTTTGAATTAATTGGTCAGATATATTCACGTTTTTAGGGTTGTTGGGTTGAACACCAGTAATGGTAGTTCTAACCAATTTTGAAGTTACTCAAATTGGTTTTATTTTGCTTTGATTTATGTACAAATTTGATAGATTTGTGTATAAAATAATCATACGAACCATTGTCGTGTTGAAAGATTGATTTGGGGTGGTTTGAAAATGGGTCTATAAATCGAGTTTGGCTAAGTTTTTGGTCCTCTTCGCTTAGGCCTCTCCAGCTTTTCACTTTACTATCAGAACATCTTCAATATATATATATATATATATATATATACACACACACACAGAGAGAGAGAGAGAGGGGGGATCATGCGAGGAGCCGTCAACTTATAAGAAATGCGATAAGGGCTAAATCACATATGATTCTAGAGCAAAATCACATGCACATGTATGGTTGTGATCGGTTTGTAAAATTTACATGGTTTATAAAATAAACCTCCCCTATAAATATATGGGGATCTTCCTTTGAGAACTCTCTTAATCGTGAGATCTCTACAAACCAATACATCATGTACTCTTTCATATAATTTTTTTCATCTATTGCTTGAATTTAATGTAGTGATTAACATATTTTTGTTTCACATGTATCGGATCACAATGTGAACATTTTTTTACGTGTTTGTGAAACAAAAAATACACATAAAAAATTATACAATGTGAATCGAATACATATGAAACAAATGTATTGTAAAAATAACCACAAGGGTAGTGCCTGATTGGTTTAAGCTTGCCTTCAAAGGTCAAAAGTATCAGGAGGTCCCAGGTTCAAATCCAAGGAGAAATAAAAATCCACTTGTGGCCACGTAGGTTCAACTAYGGTGACTCCAGGCTATCTGCAAARCAGGTGGTCGCTCTGRGATTAGTCGGCTCACATARCAGATTGGATATCCAGGYYAATTAATAAAAACATWTTGTAAAAATCATGTGAAATCAAAATCTTGAGATAGAAGTTTTATGACAAATATATGTTAGTTAGTACATTAAATACTATACTCATATAAAAAAGAATCATGTGAAACAAAAATTTTAGATAGAAATTCCTACGACAAAARATAAATATACTGATATYTGTYGATCWGGTCCAACAATATTTTGTGTGAAATAAATAAAAGATAGGAAATTGATTTAGAGTACATTATACAAATACAAAAAGTAAGGAAACTTCTAACAAATTACAAATTTATTGAGATGACTAGAAAATTTATAAAGTCTTCAATAATGGAATGATCATGCATGGTTGGCTCATGCTTTATAGGGTTATAGGAAGAAAAAGATCTAAAATAAAAAAAGATCTAGCGGATTCAAGATTTTCGATAAGGATGGTCCTTTTGTTTCAACCATATTTTCTAGGGGTATGCAGAAAATCAACCAATCCAATTGGAACCAACCGATCATAATTGGATATCCAATTGTAATTGGATTGGATCAGATTGAAAATTTCAACATCCAATTAGGAACGGTCGGTTCTCGGATGGCAGTCCAAGACTAACCAAAACCGAACCTAACCGAATCGATCAACATCCAATTAATCGACCAATGACTATCCAATTGTCTATCCAACCATTATCCAATTAATTTATTTTCAAATTGCTTAAATCGGAATTTATTTTACGTGTGGCTTTGAATTTTTAACTTCCCTTGTGTTGATTTTAACACATATTAAAAATGATTAATCAATTTATATCATTGTTGGAGAATTTGATTAAATTAGCGCACTGGATGGATCCGATCCCAATGGATCATCCATTCGATATTCGATGGATATCCAACAAAAGTATCAAATGGATGGAACTGAATCGATCCAATCATCCATTGGATTGGATTGGATCGGTTATCTAATGTTAATCGGATCAGATCGGTTGGCAAAATCCAACATCCAATATATGATTGGATCGGTTCGGTTCCCCTTATATCCAATAGATATCAACTGATGAACAAGCCTAATGTTTTCCAAACTATTATCTTATTATTTCAACTTCAAATGATATAATAAACCAGTTATTGTTGTTTTCATAAAATAATCTTCATTATAATTATATATCCAGTGTAACAAATTTTTATTATCTGATTATTTAAAGATCTATTAATAAGTAATTGAATAATATTTTTATTATCTCATAATATTTTTTTATCAAGTATTTATTGAATAATACAAAATTTGTTAAATATTTAGATGATTTGTTATTTGGTTATCATAGCTTTTAATAATAGAAATACATGAATACATTATATCTGTTAAACGTTGTTCGGGTTTGATTATATGTATTTGAATTGATCTTATGTATGTTTGAAGTTAACAGTCAGACAAACCTACAATAAAAAATACATATTTACAATGTCATTTACTTCTTTTATCAATGTAAATTATTTCACCATCGAATAATAACAAATGTTTTATATAACAAAGAATATCTCAAATGCCAAAAATATGTCTCAACAACTTTAGTAACGACTGTAGATGTAATCAAAATAGAACCCAATAGAATCAAACGATCCCATAAATATGTCCCGATATTGTTCATATATGTTTCCGAAGGCTCACGTAAAGTTTCGTCCAAATCCGTGTCCTCTCTATCACCGAATATTTTCATTTCGTGTATCGTACGTGTGTATCAATCTTAACAATAAGAAACGAAACACACCTAAGATAACAACTTCTTCCCATCGTCGTCTCTCCTCTGCAGATACTCGCTGAAACCATTGACGGGATACAGATCGGCAGTAGAAGCTGTCGAATCAGTGTACGGGATCGACATTTCCTCCATTCCGCTCTCGTTCATACCCACGAGTTGCTTCATTTTCTCGCGATCCATTTCACTCATCGAAAAGCTTTGTTCAACAGCAAATTCCTGAGGAACTATTCTTCCTTCAAGCATGCTAACGACTGCTGACATCGCGGGCCTGTCGGTAGGAGAGATCGTAGTGCACAGTAGAGCGAGATTTATGACTACCATCATCTCTTGGACGTCGTAGTCTGAACCCAGCCTTGGATCAACTAGCTCCATTAAGTTACCCGCATTTTTCAAATCGATGGCCTGAAATAGAGTGATAAGGGAAGATGATGAATGAATTCAAGTTTATAAGTTGGAAAAGGTTCATGTCAGTTACCCGATCAAGAAGAACAAAACGATTCTCCTTTGCCTTGTCGACAACGTTAGCCATCCCGCTTACGACCTCTAAAAGGACGATTCCATAGCTATAGACATCGGCTTTATCCGTGAGGTAACCACGCAATGCGTATTCGGGAGCCATATATCCACTGAAAATTACAAAGAAAAAGGAGATCTTAATGTGATCTTCGTAATAGAGGTGATGGTTAAACTAGCAAACCATAAACAACTCACTAAGTTCCAGCAACACGAGTGCTTATGTGGGTGTCGTCCTCTTCATCAAGCTTAGCCAAACCGAAATCAGAAATCTTAGCGTTTAAATCGTCATCGAGCAGCACATTGGTTGCTTTGATGTCTCTATGCACAATCTTCAATCTTGATTCTTCGTGCAGAAAAGACATCCCTCTCGCTATACCAATGCAGATCCTGTATCTCGTTGGCCAATCAAGTTCCAATTGCATTTCTTTAGGCCCTTCAATCCACAAGGTTGAATCATTAGCAAAATAACAAGCCTCGAAGAATCATAGATTTTGGAAATCAAGAGACAAAAAGTGTATGTCTTACCAAACAAAGCACGAGCAAGACTGTTGTTTTCCATGTATTCATACGCTAGCAACAACTGGTTTCCTTCGATACAACATCCATGCAGCTTCACCAAATGTGGGTGTTGCAAAGCAGATATCATGCCTAATTCATTCAAGAACTCCCTGTTTCCTTGTCTTGATTTGGAAGAAAGCTGCTTCACAGCTATTAAGGTGCCATCCGGCAATACACCCTTCATGAAAAAACAATGTTGGATTCCGACATGGTAGAAAAGTTGTTCATGTGATCAAAGAAAAGCAGTAAATTACCTTGTAAACAGAGCCAAAACCACCTTCTCCGATCTTATTAGCAACATCGAAATTGTTCGTTGCAGCTTTAATTTGCCGCAATGTAAATGAACCAGTTACGCCAGTCAACTCTGCAAAAGACGATGGGAACATGAAAAAAAGAACTTGGCAGCGATACTTCTGAAGAGTACAGGCTTGGAACATAAATACCTAAGTCCATAGTATCTTTGTGCCGTAAATAACCCCACCACCATAGAAGTCCTAGAATCAGGATGATGCTGCAAACTGCTCCAACCACAATTCCAGCCACAATCCCTCCAGACACACCATTTCCTGATCCGTTTCCTGATCCAGCTTCGCGTGGAACAGGAAAATCTGAACAATTAAAATAAGAGAAGATAAAAACAATGGTGAATAAAGACGATCAAACAAGAAAAGCCATTCAACTTGCATGGTTTTCTTTGAGAGCTTGCATTTGTGCACATTGTTCCTATTTTGCATATCACAAGCTGATTCGAATTTATCGTCGACAAGTGCTTACCATCATCGTTACAAATAATACAGTCAACTTCGAACCATGAACACCATCAATCACAAAACTCGGAGAAAGTTAACAGCTTACTTGGATTCACAGAAATAGCTGAAATAAGAGGACCATATACTCCTCGATTTGGGACAGTAAGTGTTCCTTTTCCAGCCCAATAGAGTCGGATTTCCAAACTAGATGTAACATATACAGTATAATTTCTCACAATTGCTATCCCAACTCCACCTGCTTTTTCACTGATGTCAAAATCCTTCTCCACCAGCACCCCCTGACACAGTACCAACCATTTATGATTAGCAATTAAGCTGCCAAAAACAATTGAACTGAAACCTACATCACGATATAAGATATATCTATGAGAAGGTACCTGAATATAGATATCAAATACACGCCGGCCAAGGCTGCTAAATGTTCCATTATCAGTAAAACGGATCTCGGCAAAGTGAAGGCTTACGGTGTAGCTTCCATTATGCATGCACGAACCATAATATGTCAAAGATAAGGCTGAGGTTCGTGCACTTTCGTACAATTTAGAGTTGTTTACCACCCTAGAAGTATTTGTCAAAACATAAGTGTCCTCGCCACCATTATCCAGGAAGTGACCAGTATTGCTAAATCGCCATGGCCTATCAGCCGTAGAGAAAAATGTAGCACCACCTGGTTCCACGTCAGCTTCATATACATTTCCATCCTCCAGTTGCTCTACTCCACCACAGTTGACATACCAGGAGGTTGAATCTAATCCAAAAATAGAAATAAGAAGTCTGATATATACATTTCTAGCATTTACACATGAGAAATACTATGTAATTTTAACTTACTTGGTCCGCAAACATAATCCCGTAAGCATGAGACCCGTTCACCGCTACTAAAGTAAAAGAAAAGAAAGAGCGTGACACGCAGAAATGAGCATTTGCGAAATCTTTATTCGGATAAAATAATTCATGGCACAGAAACTTACGACACGTTATCCGCTGAGAAGGAAGCAAACAAGTTTCTATAAGCAACAACAGGAAATGCAGGATTTAGCTACTATAATAAACACTTTGAACATGATACTTTTGAGAAAGATAGAGTTGCTCTTACGTTCTCCGCATCTGACACCGCAAATTTTGTGAGCTATCAAGCGTAAATTTATTGTATGACAGATCACTGCAAGAAAATTCAGAACAACAATCGTTATGTTCTACAAACAAACAAGGATCTTATTTAATGTGTCTTTGAAGAGAGGAGAGCCTCCATTTACAGACATCCTGCACCAAAAACTTCACCTGTATATATGGAATGCAACACAATC